GTTCTTATTCTACCATAAGATAATTTTGCCATCTGCTACGAATTGTGTTTTAATTTGACCAGAAATATGGAGATACCATAATTATGCAATATTATCAATTAATACAAGGGAAAATTGTAAAAAATGCCCCTCTATAATATGCCAATTATCAATGTTGCCCCTCAATTATCAAAATGGTGCACATATAGCCCCTCCCGTAACGGACATGTGGTTCCCCACCGCTATCCATCACTGGTACTGCGAATCGAGGGAAGGAAAAAACAACTAAATTACATATTTACTCCGACTTAACGGTGTCGTACACTAACGGGGAACCACATGTCCGTTACGGGAGGGGCTATATGTGCACCGTTTTGATAATTGATGGGCAACATTTACACCACTCATAATTAAAGGGTGACATTGATAATTGGCATATTATAGAGGGACATTTTTTACAATTTTCCCTTAATACAATTTACTTAATTTCTATTCAACATTTGCTTACCAAATAAGATTTTTTTTTTTATTAATTTGACCAATAAAATGAGTTTGGAATTTTAGGCGGTTTCTATTAAACATTATACAAGTTTATAATTCTCATATTTTCTACCTATAAATACAATGGATTGGTGAGTTTAGAAATCATAATTTTTTCTTTTGCACGGTTTCCTTCTTCCAGTTCTCTCTGTGGAATCATATCTTGGTGTTCCACTCATGAAAACGTAAGTATTTTTTTTTACAGTTTTCAAGATTATTATTATTATTATTTTGCAATTGTAGCTTGAAGTGTTTTTAGTGCCGATGGATCCAACGGATTGGGTGTTGATGGAGACCCTGGTAACATTGACTACAAAGCTGATTTCTTAAATTTTCGGCAACAAGGAAGGGCCAGCGTTTTCCTTATCAAAAATCAAAGTCTTCTTCTCCTCGCAACGAAGCGCTTTGCCGAACCGGAAGGTGATTCTTTTTTTTTTTTCTTTATTCCTCTGAGATAATTACAAGATGTATACGAAAAACGAAACAGAACCCTGGTTTCAACACCAAAAATACAAAAGTTAAGGATAGAGATCGAGGACTAAGTCACGTGTCTGCACTAACAAATAATGTATAATATTATTAGTACAAAATAATGTATAATATTATTAGTACAAAATGTACAAATATTATAATTAATATAATATACACTTAATGTGTGTGTGTGTATGCACTTAATGTATAATATTATTAGTACAAAATAAACTTGTCTTAATAATTAATTATTAATATTAATGTCAAATAATTATGTATTGTTACCCTTTTTGGTGTTATTATTATGGTAATCTATATACATATATATTTTTATACATAATATATAATATTATTGGCACAAAATAAATTACTATTACCTTAATATATGATTAATTTTTAATATAATTTCCTAATTTTTATTAATGGTAATTATTCTAATAATTTTTCTTTCCTTCTTTCGTGTAATTACTATGGTAATATATTTAAATATTGAAAGAGAACAAGTACTATAATTAATATAATTAATGAAATTATTATGGTAAGGAAATGAAATTATAAAATTAACAAAATATAAACATTTATAAAAAAAAAAATTTAAATACACACATACATACACTTATGCACTATACTAATCATACAAAATTTAAATGCTACTTTTTAAATTTCTAAATGTAAATTTTAAAGTATAAATCTATCAATATAAATCTATACTATTATTAAAAACAAAATCTTTCTATGTTACTTTTCCGTCCAAACAATAAAAAATGGGAAAATTACCAATTAATAATACTAATAATAATTAGTAAAAATGTTAGTAGTAAAATAGAAAAATAAAAAAAAAATCCTTAATTCACAAAAAATAGAAAAGGAAACGGAATTCACTAATTAATTAATACTAACAATAATCAGTAAAAAAATATTTATAGTAAAATAGGAAAATAAAAAAGACCCTTAATTCACTAAAAATGAAAATATAAACGGAATTTATTGATTATTACTAATCTATACTATTATTAAAAACAAAATTCCCCTTTTCTTACTTATGGAATTTATTAATTAATACTAATAATAATCAGTAAAAAGGTTAGCAGTAAAATATGAAAATAAAAAAGGATCATTAATTCACTAAAAATGGAAAAGAAAACGAAATTCATTGATTAATACTAATAATAATCAGTAAAATTGGAGATATAAACGGAATTTACTGATTAGTAAAATAGGAAAATAAAAAAAATATATATCTTTAATTCACTAAAAATGGAGATATAAACAGAATTTACTGATTATTACTAATAATAATCAGTAAAATAGGAAAATAAAAAAGGAGTTTTAATTCAATGAAAATGGGAAAAAAAAACGGATGGTTGTGAAAAAGGGGTCATAATAAAGATAATAGTAAAAAAAAAATCCTACCAAAAATTAGAAAAATAAAAAAAAAAATTAATTCGCGAGAAATAGAAAAAGAAACGAAATTCACTGATTAATTAATACTAATAATAATCAATAAAAAAGTTAGAAGTAAAATATAAAAATAAAAAAAGGATCATTAATTCACTAAAAATGGAAAAAGAAACGAAATTCACTGATTAATACTAATAATAATTAGTAAAATTGGAAAATAAAAAAGGATTTTTAATTCAATGAAAATGAAAAAAAGAAAACGAAAGGTTGTTAAAAAAAAAAGGTCATAATAAGGATAACAGTACCAAAATAAAAATCTTACCAAAAAATTTGAAAAGTAAAAAAAAAAAAAAATCCTTAATTTACAAAAAATAGAAAAGAAAACAGAATTCATTAATTAATACTACTAATAATTAGTAAAATTAAAAGTTAGCAATAAAATAGAAAAATAAAAAGTGATCTTTAATTCACTAAAAGTGAAAAAAGAAATGAAATTCACTGATTAATACTAATAATAATCAGTTAAATAGAAAAATATAAAATGATTATCAATCTATCTATACTATTATTAAAAACAAAACCCTCCTTCCTTACTTTCCCGCTCAAACAATATTAAATAATACAGGTAAATTTAAAAAAGGATGAAAAAAAAAGGAACAAAAATATTTCACAATAATATTCTACATCATCAATTAAAAATGGAATGAGAATTAGGTAAATTGAAAAAAGAAATGAATATTAATAATTGAAAGAAAATTAAAGATAGAAAAATGAACAAAAATTAGGTTAATTGAAAAAGGAAATGAATATTAATAATTGTCTGAAAATAAAAAATTATCCATAATTGACTAAAATAGAAAAGAAAATGGTCAAATCATTGCATTTTAATTTTTCACAATAATATTACACATTATAATACATCAAATCACAATTATGTCATAAATCTTTCACAATTTTAAACAATAGAATGGAAATATGTCAATAATAATATTATACATAATCAAGTAAATGTAAATTAAAAATGAAAAGGAAATATTTCAATAATAATATTCTATATCATCAATAGTAAAGACATATTTTAAACAATAGTAAAGGTAAATAAAAAAAGCAACGAAAATTAAAAATGAAACGGAAATATTTCAATAATAATATTCTACATCTTCAATTAAAAATGAAACGAAAATTGGGTAAAAATATCACTACATCTGATATTTTAATTGGTTAATTGACTAAAAATAAAAAAAAAATAAAAATTGACTGAAAATGAATATGATATTACTAATTGACTGAAAATATAAAAAAAAATAAATATTAATAGTTGACTGCAAATAAAAATTGATCCATAATTGACTAATATGAAAAAATAAATGGTTAGATCATTGAATTTTAATTAAAAATGAAAAGGAAACTAAAATTGAACGAAAATATTTCAATAATAATATTCTACATCATAAATAGTAAATGCATATTTTAAACAATAGTAAAGGTAAATTGAAAATGGAACGGAAATATTTCAATAATAATAGTATACATCATCAATTAAAAATGGAACGGAAATTAGGTAAAAATATCACTGCATATAATATTCTAATTGACTAAAAATAAAAATAAAAATAAAAAAAGAATAATTGGGTGAAAATGAATCTGATATTACTAATTCACTTAAAATATAAAATGATCGCTAATTGACTAATATTCTACCATTATATATTTTCACCTGAGTCACCCATCCTGATCAATTGAATGTGTTAGCTCTAGACGATGATGGACAAGATTGTGTTGCTACAACCAATGTTGTCTACAACGAGGTTTCAATAATGTGTAAATAAAATCGTTGATATTATATTTTTTTAAATGACAAAATTTCTATATATATATATATATATATATATATATATATATATATATATATATATATATATATATATATATATATATATTCCATACAAATGAATTAAGATAGAAATTCATTTATATAACTGAGTTAATAGAGAATGAGCAAACTTGCTTAATTTATAAAAAAAAATACTAAACAATGATAAATACAATTTTCAATGTTACAGCACCGCATGCTTACATCTACACATTAGCTATTAATTTGAGCAATTATTTGCTTAAATTCAAGCAATGATAACATCAAAACACATATCTAAACCATATCTTCAATTGCACTATATAATATTTGATGTTCTAATTTAAATAATTATATATTGATCCAATTATTTTTAATATATTATAACAAATCTATTCTGTGCATCGCACGGGCGCAAATACTAGTACAATTTAAAACGATAATTAATGTGGCACTGACATAATATCTGCTACATACATCATAATTACATGCCAACTCATATATTAATTTATAAATATTTAAAATTATTTATTTTTACCATCATTATATTACATAAATATGTTCAAAATAAATTGTTAAATGTATTACAAATGTTAATTTATTTTATTTGAATAAATTAAATCACATATATTTTTTATATAAATTTAAAAATGTTAATTGTTATGGAGTAAAAAATTAAAAAGCTGAATAAATTGAAATATTAATAATTAATCTTCATTATTATTTTTTTTGAAAAACCAACATCAAAGACGATATATTAAATCAATTCAGAAATAAAATGAGGGGGAACATCCTCCCAACTCATCGGACCAGGCTGAGAGCCAACCGCCTTTGCTAAAGCATGCGCGGCTTGGTTCGCTGATCTAGGAATGTAATGAAAAACGCAACGCGGTAAATCTTTAACAGTCTGTTTACACTCATGAATAATGGAACCAAGATAGGTTCGATCCTCCTTTTCGCTTTGCAACACCTGTACTATATTAAGGCAATCTGTCTGAACCTGCACCTCCATCACACCTCTCGTTCGAATCCAGATTAGAGCTTGTTTGCATGCCTCGGCTTCAACCATTACTGGATCCAAGACGCAATGCATGTCCCCATTTAGTGCTGCCACAAACCCTCCTACGGCATTAGTCAGAATCGCACCGAAGGTGGCCTTGTGAAAAGTAGTATCAATTCCTCCATCCACCTTGCATGTGAACATACTTGCCGCACCAACCTCCCCTACGGAAACATGCATATCAAGTTGAGTGACATCCAAGGCCTGGCCCCACTGCTGCCACGTTGAAGCTGCAAGCTGCCACACTCCTATTGGCCTTCTCACCAACCCCTCCCAAACTGCCTCATTATGCACCTGCCATATGGAATAAATAACAGCAGCGAACACATGCAATTTTTGCTTGTCACAAGAATTGAAAATCTGCTGAAACCAAACATCTATTGGTTCATCAATATTGGCATTTGGCAGCTGTATAGTCGACAGTCTCCACACCTCCAACGCTAAAGGACATGAATAAAAAATATGCATGAGACTTTCATCCTGCAAGCCACATATGGAACAATCTGGAGTTACCTCCACATGTTTAAATATCAATGCCATCTTGGTGGGCAATACCCCCCTTATAACCCTCCACAACATAGTCCTCCATTTTGGCGGACACTTCAGATGCCATAGGGAATTCCACTTTGAAAAGGAGCATGTCAATGGGAGAACTTCACGATCCTCCCTAAGAATTCTATACCCAAGCTTCACACTGTAATTTCCCCTTAGATCCCCTTCCAGTACCAGTTATCGTCAAACTCAGGGAAGATAGGAGTCCTTAAAATCATATTAGCGTCCCGATCATTAAAAAGATCCTCAATAACCTCCTGATCCCATGTTTCAGCGTCCGGAGTCATCAGATTGACAACCAAAGCACCCCTGAGTGGGAGAGGCATTTCGGTGGTCACAAATGGTTCATCCAAATTAATTAGCCAAGGGTCCCTCCAAACATCCGTTGATAAGCCATTCCCAATCCTTCTCCTAGCTCCCGCTCTCACCAACCCCTGAGCAGCCAGAATGCTACGCCAAGCGTAACTAGGATTATGTCCTATGGCAGCGTCCAAATAACAAGAGTTTGGGTAATACCTGGCCTGAAACACACGAGCTACCAGAGTGGCAGGGTTTGTGAGCAACCTCCATCCTTGCTTCCCCAGTAACGCCAGGTTAAAGAGGTGGATCTGTTTGAACCCCAGACCTCCCTTACCTTTCGGCGCACACATTCTCTCCCAACTTAACCAATGTATTCCTCGGGCATTCCCACCGTTATCCCCATTACGCCACCAAAACCTGTTCATACACCTTTCTAGCCTTTCACACAAATAAATAGGCAGTAAAAAAACGCTCATGGTAAAAGTTGGCATCGCCTGAGCCACGGATTTAAGTAAAATTTCCTTACCAACTCGAGTTAGAAACTTTTTGTTCCATGTTCCAATTCTTTGTCTCAATTTCTGCTCCACATAGGAAAACACCATCCCCTTATTCCTACCAATAACAGAAGGCAATCCTAGGTACTTTCCAAAGTCAGGGGTCTCATGGACTCTCAAAGAAGTGGCCACAGCATATCTGTCACCCCCCGCAGTGTTGTGGCTAAAAGTAATACTCGACTTGTGATAGTTGATTGCCTGCCCACTCAACTCTTCATAAACCGACAAACACTGACTTATCTTCCCAGTCTCTTGCTCATTGGCCTTAAAGAAAAGCAGACTGTCATCTGCAAAAAACAGATGAGAGACTGCTGGAGCTCCCCTGGCCACCTTACAACCATGAATGTCCCTGTAGCTGCGCCTCTTGTAGTAGTAGGGATAATCCTTCTGCACAAATTATAAACAAATAAGGTGAGAAAGGATCACCCTGACGCAACCCCCTAGTAGGAACAACCACACCCCCAGCCTGCCCATTTATCATGATTTTATACTTTACTGTGGTTACACACAACATAATCAACTTGACCCATTCACGTGCAAACCCCAGCTTTAACATCATACCTTCTAAAAAGCCCCACTCCATCCTGTTATAAGCCTTAGCCATATCTAATTTTAAAGTTGCCCACCCTTCTCTGCCTTCCTTTTTCCTCCTCAAATAATGGCCCACCTCTGCAGCAACAAGGATATTATCAGTAATCAAACGCCCCGGGATACAGGCACTCTGGGACTCAGAAATGATTGTACCCAATAACTGCTTCATTCTATTAGCCAAAAGTTTTGCCATAATTTTATACGCCACATTGCATAGTGCAGTCGGCCTCAAATCACTCACTAACTCCGGGGCTTGCTTCTTTGGAATTAAAACAATGTTGGTATCATTTAATTGATCAGGAAAAGAAACATTATTCAAACAACCTAGAACAAAACTAGTAACATCCTCCCCCACCACATCCCAAAAAGACTGATAAAAAGCAGGATTCATACCGTCTGGGCCAGGAGATTTGTCTGGACCCATACAGAATAAAGCCTCCTTTACCTCCTCTGCTTCAAAGGGCCTCATGAGATTATTATTTTGTTCTTGGGTCACACGGGGCTGGACAAAATCAAGGGCATCCCCCAACATATTTCCATTTGACTTGAAAATATTATTATAGTACTCAAGAACAACAGAATTCATAGTATCACCCTCCACCCACCTACCCTCCCCGTCCATCAACTTAACAATCTTATTCTTCCGCCGCCTTGCAGAGGCATATTTATGGTAATATCTCGTGTTTGAATCAGCTTCCCGCAACCAATGCTGCTTGGCCCTTTGTTTCCAAAAGGCATTTTCCTGTTCCAACAGCCTCCCCAACCGGCAATCCAACTCCTTGACCACTCGTACAGAATCCTCATCCCGATTGCCCCTTAGCCGGTCTAACTCCTTCCTTATACCCCCAATTTCCCTGCCAAACTTATGATGTCTGTCGCCACCCCATCTACGGAGCCTATCCCCACACCCAATCAGTTTAACTTGCAACCCCACCCCAGCCAAACCATCCCATGCACTCTCCACCACCTCCCTACAACCCCCATCCAACAACCACGCATTCTCAAAACGGAACGGTGGCCTGCCTCTAGGTGCATCCATACGGGAATTAATGTCCAAAAAAAGCGCAGAGTGGTATCTTCATTATTATTTTGTTATCAACATAGATGAAATTATTTCTTATATCAATATATATATATATATATATATATATGGAAAAAGTGTCAAATAGGCCCCTAAGTGGATAGTGCAATTGGGTCCCCTAAGTGAAAAAAGCTCAATTCAAGTCTCTTAAACCGGTAAAATTGTTCAATTAAGTCCAAGTTGACTTGTTTATCAGGTTAAATGCATACGGTGTTGACCCACATGTCCTTATTTTATTTTATTTTTTATTAAAAATTAAATATAATAATAATAATAATTTTTAAAAAAAAAAAAAAAAAAGAGAGAGAGAACAACCGTGGCCGAAGGAAGACGTGCCATGGCCGTCTTCCTTCGTCGGCCATGGCCATCTTTGAAGAAGGAAGACAGTCACGGCTGTCCGGTGGCTGTTTTTTTTTTTTTTTTTGTTTTTTTTAATTATTATTATTATTATTATTTTAATTAATTTATAAAAAATGATATTTTTAATAAAAAATAAAATAAGGACACGTGTCAACACCATATCATTTAACTGGAGAGAAAATTTCAATTTTAGTCACATGACTATAGGGGCATTGTTAATATCAACACCTGACTTTCAAAAGTGTCAATTTAATACCTTGACTATGTAATTTTTGTCAATTTTGGTCACTCCGGCCAAATTGACGGTTAAATTTTGCCGAAAAAATTTAATGCAACATTTAGTTTATAATCTGAATGGCAAAATCGTCTTTTGATCCTTTCTCCTAATTTTGAAAATATGGTTCGAATTAAGCAACAAAATTTCCGGCGAAATAGTCAATCGTAGGGGACGCTTTTCGGTATTGCTATGTTCAGTCAAGAATGGGGAACCCATTTGCGAAAATGCCCCAAGCTGTAGTTTTTAACGACACCCTTCTCAAGTATGCGAGCCTGGATATTGGGGAGCCTCACTTGAGTAAGGAGGTTGATGAGCTGTTAGAAGGTAATTTCAGAACTAATGGTCGCCATAGATCTTTCTTGTGTTCTGGTAGATATCATATTGACCTTAGAATCAGGCAAGTTTAACCTGCTCTGGCTGAGTTTCCGGAGGTATTTGCGTGATTGGTTTCGTAATAGGAAGCTTCAGACTGATTCTATGATTGGTTTGTTGCATGGAGTAAAAGTTTTGATTGATAAGCACAATGGGAAATCGGAACTGGAGAAGGAAATGTACATTTCTTGTGCAGTTGTGGGGAATAGTGGGATTTTATTGAATAGTGAGTATGGCAAGGTGATTGATGGCCATGAGGTTGTGATACGATTGAAGAATGCAAGAACTGGAGGGTTTGAGAGGAATGTGGGCTAAAAAACAAGTATTTCCTTTGTGAAAATATGATATGAATTAAGCTCATCAACCTCCTTCCTCAACTGAGGCTCCCCAATATCCAGACTCGCATACTTGAGAAGGGTGTCGTTAAAGACTACAGCTTGGGGTATTTTCGCAAATGGGTTACCGATTCTTGACTGAACAGAGTAATACCGAAAACGGCGAAAAGCGACCTGGATGAAAAGCACAAAATTTTCCGGCGAATTAGGGAAAAGATCAAAAGACGATTTTGCCCTTACTAAATGTTTGATTAAATTTTTCCGGCCAAATTTGATCGTTAATTTGGCCGGAATGACCAAAATTGACAAAAATAACATAGTCAAGGTACTAAATTGACACTTTTGAAAGTCAGGTGCTGAAATTAACAATGTCCCTATAGTCATGTGACCAAAATTGAAATTTTCTCTTTAACTGGATAAACAAGTCAACTTGAACTTAATTGAACAATTTTACCAATTTAAGGGACTTGAATGAAGCTTTTTTCACTTAGGGGACCTAATTGCACTATCGACTTGACTTAAGTGACCAATTTGACATTTTTTCCTATATTTTTTCTTATGAAACTTCTTAGTATAAATAAAATTTTCTACCTATCTCATTTATAATGGCATTTAATAATACTTTGCAATAATTTAATAAGGTAAGTGTCTAGTAAAGTGGTAGTAGGTACTAGGTAGCGTTTGGTATGCAAGACATCAAGAGTTTGAATTTGAGTGCGAGCTATATGTAAATACTAACATTTTGTACGCGCGAAAATTCATGTCCAATATTATAATATTGATAAATATAAATAATTAAAAATTATAATTTGAATTATATATACACAATAATATATGTATTTTGTACACACACATGTATAATTAATCATTCATAGAAATTTAATTAAAATATAATTAAGCATTAAATTAATTATATAATAATTTTAATAAAATGATAATTAAAAATAAGAAAAAGATATAATAGATATAGGTGTATGGTAATAATGATGTGTTATCAATGTTAGAATTAAAAACTAACGGTGTAAGGGTAGTTTTGTCTAATAACATTAAAATGTACAATATTTAAAGTAAAATGTACATATTTATTTGCATACAAAAATAGGGACATAAATCAAGGATATAACCTTCATTGAGACTTATTATGTTTTTAGATTTATTTTTTATATATTAATATATTGGTGGCAAAATATAACTAGTTTTACTCTTTTTTTTTTTTTTATAAAATAATATATGAATTGGCATGTAAATATAATTTGATAGAAAATATGTGACTGTCACGTTGCCCATTGTCCTTAATTGTATCACTTTTTAAAATACCGAAAGTAAATTATATAAAATTAATGTACAATAACTAAATTAAACAAAACACTATAGTATGAGGACATCATAGGTACTTTGACCTCAAGATACTATATACTCCATATTTGTTAAAAATTATATTACATGTTTTATTAGGAATGTAAATGGAAAAAAAAAAAAAAAAAAAACTATAGTATAGGACCTCATAGGTCATATGTGGAGTACTACAGTCGTTATATTGTGGACCGCGGTGCACGTAAAAAATGATATCGTCACCATTAACGGAGCACGTATGTTTGGTGTATTAATTACTATACCCAACTGAAACTACAGTGTATCTAGACTGACACTGCCTCACGTATTATTTTTATATTATCAAGTGAAACTGCAATTGAATTGAAATGAAACTGTAGTAGTGTTGAAATGAAACTGTAGTCTATACAAAATGAAACTGAATAACAATTTCACATATTTGAGTGTATATTACCCAGCGGAACTGTAGTTATATCAAAATGATACTGTAGTTGTTTTGAAATGAAACTGAATAACATTTCACATATTTGAGTGTATATTGTGCAATGAAGCTGTAGTTATATCGAAATGATCATATTGTTGTGTTTTAATGAAACTATAGTGTATATAAAATAAAATTAAATAACATTTTCACATATTTAATTTGAGTGTATAAATATTGAATGAAACTATAGTTATATCTAAATGAAACTGTAGTTGTATTGAACTGAAACTGCAATGTATACAAAATGAAACTGAATAACAAAGTTACTTTTTGCGGAACGGCGCGAAACGGGTACCGTTTCTTTTCATTAAACAAAATGGCATCGTTTTGAAGCTCGGTGCATAATCGATTATGCACCGCGGTGCACGATATAATTTGCCGGAGTACTAACTATGGGCTTGTTTGGCAATCAGCGGTTAGCGGATTGTATTAACGGTTAACACATAGCAGATTTTGTTAGCTGGTTTGACCAGTAGATTATATCAGTGATTTGTAAACAGATATTTGATAAAATTAGCTATTTAGATTAGCGGTTAACATGTAAAATGACCAAAAGGGTATAATAATAATGATGATGATGATGATGAAGAAGAAGAAGAAGAAGAAGAAGAAGAAGTGGATCAATCTGATCCCACATTAGAAGTTAAAAACAGAAGAGGCGTTGAGCTCCCTTTTAAAAGCGAGCTCAACGCCCCTTCTGTTATCTTCTCTTGCCCATCCCAATTTCCACATTAGATGGGCAAGAGAAGAGAAGTCTGAGGCATCTTTATTAAAGCGTCTCAGGCTTCGTAAGTAAACACTTAATATTTTTTATTATTTTTTTTAATAGAGGGTGTTTAGGGGAAGGAATTTACATTTCTCAAAATGCTATCCCCAAACACTGCTACAAGTAGCGTTTGGGATCGGTTTGGAGCAAAACGTCGAAATGGTGGATTGGTTAAAATTTTAGCGAATTTTTCATATACCAAACAAGACCTATATCTTGTCATATGCAAAAAATTATATATAACATATTATATTACGTTTATTTTTACTTTTAGTCTCATAACTATATGTTACTTCAATATTCAATTTACAAGTATCATATCACTTTTGTCATATATTAAATATATGATTTATATTTTTGTCACATCTAGTCCTGTCAAAAGTTCCGATATATAATAATGATCAAGATTAATCACATTTCTTGTATAGAATCACATTGGCTTAAACATGTCAATATTTTGTGGTAACAAATGTGTAGTTTTTAATTAAAAATACAACAACACACAAGAATGACAATATTTATTTATTTTTAGAATTAATTTCATTTTTTGTCTTAAAGTTATAAGTGTCAGTCCACTTTTAGTTCTTTTATTTTCAAAACATTATTCTTTGGCCATAATATTGTTATGACATGACAATTTTGGTCATCCGTCAACAAACCATTTAAATGACGTTAAATAAAAGGACATTGTTGTCTATACAGTTCTAAGTGTTAATTTATTTTTCTTTTTTTGTCATAGATTTATGTGTCATTTCACTTTTAGTTCTCTTTTTTTTTTTTCCATAATATTTCCGTTGGTCCTAACATTATTGTGGCACGACCATTTTTGGTCCTCTTGTAATAATTATGTTTAAATGACATTTTTAAGTATTAACCACTCAAAATCCTTCTCTTTTTTTTTTTCTTCTTGGTAAGAATTTTTAGTAGTTAATAACGTCATTTTTAATGCCATTTAATCCTATTTGTTTACGAAAGACAAAAATGGTCATGTCACAATAATGTTAGGAACAACATGGATGTTCTTAAAAAAAAGGACTAAATTTGAAATGACACATATAAATCTAGTGATATGAGTCTAATTGTGCACACTTTTAGTATTGATTTATTTATATTCGTTAGGCCTAGGTTCATGATTTTAGTGTTTTAATTGCATAATTCCTTGTTCTATTATTTAGTTATGGTTCACACTCGTTTTGAATGGTTTACGGTGTTTGTTAGTGTTTTCGAACCATTGTAGGTCAAGGTTAAGAGTAAGGGAAGTTCAAAGACAGGTTTGGAGTCAAAGTGGACCAAACGGTGCGCACCCGCAAGTTTGACGCGTAGAGCCAAGGGCTCGACGCGTCCAAATTTTTCAGAACGCATCCGGAAGTCGAGCAAGGAAGCTCGACGCGTCGAGAATGTCGCGGCTGCACCAGGCGAAAAAAAGACTCCTTCTGTTCGACGCGTTGAACTCCTCCAGTACCTATTCTGAAGAAATTCAAGGCCGTGCTCGACGCGTCGAGCCAGCGACGGCGCAATAGCAATTTCGGACCTGTTTTCGCGCGAAATTTTTTTCAGACCGAGATTGGTTTTAGGCTTCTAGCTATAAAATCCCACCTTCCTCAACCCTAATTTCATTCAGAGATCTTTGAAGACAAGAATGAGAGAAATCAAGAGGCACAAGTTGTCTTGGGAATCAGGAAGAAGACTAGGGAGATTTGGGAAAATCACCGGGTTCATTCTTGTAACTCTCTTTGATGATTTGTAACTTCTTTTATATCTTTGCTATGTATAATTTAGCCATGCTTGGCTAAATTCCATTAGAGATTCTTGGGTAAAAGTGTTTATGACCCTATGTGCCTGAGCTCTCAGATTCTTTAATATATTATTATTTGGGTTATAACTTGTGTTGCAATTGTGTTTTATATTGTTGTTGCTAGTAGTTAAACGACCGTAATTACTTGTTTCTTTTGCTTTATTTGTGTCACAACGGGAGTTGGGCATAATTTAAGGCACACACAATTGCACTTAATTGTTGCACATTGGGAGAGAGCAAATTAGTTAAGGAATGAATTATTTCTTAATTATTGCACATCAGGAGATGGTATTAGTTAGGAATTAATTATGAATGATCGTTCTTGTTTTATTGAGTGTTTATACCACGGTAGTGGATATTCACTAGTGTTAGGGACTACGAGAGTAGCTCTATACCATATTTGCATTCTCACAACTGTTATACCCAGATTTCATATTGTCCTTTAGATTTGGCACTAGGTGATTAAAAGAATCTCAGGAATCTCATCTGCTCTCTATTGATTTCGAAACCATAATCTTGTTTTTTTACATTAGTTATATTTTAATCAACCATCTATGTCTTTTGTTAGGATTAGCTTTTCGGGAATAAATTAGTAACTAGTGCTTAATACAACTACTTCCCTGTGGATCGATAACTCGTACTCCGAGTATTATTTGTTTGAAAATATACTACAATCATCTAGGATCAAAAAAGGAAAAAGAGTTAACTCTTAGAATTGAATAGACCAAAATGTTCTTATATTTAACTATATTTAAACAGTTTTATTAATGGAGGACCAAAAATAGTCATGCCATAATAATATTAGGATCAAAGATGGATGTTTTGAAAAAAAAAAAAAAAAAAGAACTAAAGTTGGATTGATACCTAACTATAAATCTAAGACCAAAAATGAAATTAACCCTTATTTTTATACAACTAAGGATATTGCCGGATCAAATAACCTAAAATCAAACAATAATGCATTAGACCATAAGTTCTTTGGCACATGATGCTTTACTTCATTTATTGTCACATGATGGTTTACTTCATTTATTTTCATCCTTTTTATTTCATTATATTTTGAAGGTTTACTTTTCTTCACATGATTGCCAGGTAGGCGCAACTCTGATCTAAGCTAAGTATGTAGCTTATAACAATGGCAATTGAGTATTTAAAATATTTTTCATAAGAAAATTTCTATTATATCAAATAATAGTACTTTTTTTGTTTTGCGTCAAATATAAATGTACATGTTATTTGGATTGCATTAGATGCAAAATGTTTGTCTAGACGTCTAGTACCTAATGTAATAACACATTTTATAGTCAATTATATTTGATATAAAAAGTATCGATATCCAAAGACCTTGTGGTCGGACGGTATAAATGTGACAGGTCACAGAGGTTAAAATCTTGGTGGGGTATTAACTTTCTGTGCTTCAATAGGTTGAGAAAGTATTTATTAATAGAAAAACAAAATCATTAATGAGTATATGGATTAATACTTTATTATTTAATATAGTGATTGCATGGAGAGAAACAATTGGAGAAGAGAAAGAAAGACAAGCTTGAGTCAAAGCAAGCAATAGGACCAGATTCAAATTAGCGAAATTATACAATGAGCCCCCTATTGAAAATATCTTCGCAAAAGACTCCCCAAAATTTTGAGCAAAAAATAAAAAACAAAACAAAACCATTAAATGCTTGGCAGTAGTGAAATGACTAGAATGCCCATTAATGTGTACATGATTGTGAAATCATCGGGGACAAAGCTGGAGAATTAGAGAATTGTGGCACCCGTTCTACCGACAAGTCAAAAAGATTGATCTTTTCACGGTTTACGAAAGAGCCCCAAAAGGAATTAGATATTATAAAACAGTCCCTGTAGAATATGAAATTTACCTTCCGGCCCCTCTGCCAATCATTTCTTTGTACCTAAGAATGGAATCCAGCCTCTGAAGCTTCAGCTGGTTCTTGAAGCGGTTGATGAAATCGTCGGCTTTGGCGTCCACCTCATGATCCACCTCCGTCGCTCTTTCCCTCATCGTCGCCGGCCGGCGAGGCTCCACGTCCTCTACTTTCTCTCCGAAGTGCTTAAACGCAGATTTCATGCTGGCCGATTTCTTCATCTTGGCCGGAAGCCTCGCCGGCATCTCGCAGGAAGATGGCTTGGTGTCAGATTTGCACCGGTTCACCTGCTTCCCCTTTAACCGGCTGTACACTTCGTCCATGCTCTCAAGCTCATCCGTCTCCTCCTCTTCCTGAGCATCAAAATGGGCATGGGTTTGTTCAGGTTTATCTTGATTTCTGAGAAACTGGGAGTGATTTTCTTGTTGAAAGTGGTAGTGGGTTGGAGTTTCTTGGTGATTTTCTTGGTGGAAAATGTAGTGGGTGGGCTGATTGGGAGTATGTTGATGGGTGTGGCCAAAAATGTAATGGGTTTGTGATTCAAGGATTTGGGGTTGATGGGTATGGTCAAGATTGTCTGAATCTGGGGGTGATTTGAAGTGCGAGGTTTCTTGGGGTCTGGAGAAGGCGTAGAAATTGATGGATCTGAGGCGCTGAAGAACAGAAGGGGATCTAGCAAGCATGGGTTGTTGAGGTTGTCGGTTTTCTTGATTCTTTTGTTGTTTTTGGTTGGTCAACGTGGAAGTGAAGGCAATGGTGCCAATCATGAGATTGAGGAGGAGGAAGAGAACTGTGGGGGTGAACCAGCTATTCATGGATTCCCAGATGGAAGAGGGCATGGTGGAGGAGGATACATTTTCTTCTAACATTTTGTCAGAGTTTTAGAGAGAGAGAGAGAGAGAGAGAGAGAAAGAATAAGATCAGAGTTGGAGATGGTAAAGAGCAGAAATGAAATGATGAATGGTTTGGTGGAGTTAGGCTATTGGGAGTGATAGAGGCCTGGTTTTTATCTTCATGGAATCATGGGCATGTTTTCATTTTCATTTTTATTTTTATTTTTATTTATGATTTGGGGGCATGCTCACCTACAGCTCACAAGCATGGCAGGGGTACTTCTACATTTACTCCATAAATAATGAATGAAAGAATATATATATTAATCTCATGATTATGTGATCGACATTATCATATTTAGTATTCCACTTTTAATAAGGTCGTATTTAATCTCACAACTTTACTGGAATTGTAACATTTGATTTTTATTACAATTTTTAATGTTAATTTCATGGACAAATTAGATTATTTCATAACGTCAGTCTCTTTCTATGAGTTAAAAAAAGTTTTATTTATTTATTTTTTTTTCTAAAGAACAACATAAAATACAATAATTTCATATGCTTTTTTGTGCATAAAGTTTTTTTTTTCTTTTGTTATATATTATGTTGTTTATGAATTTTTCTTTTTTAAAAGTCCAACATGATTAGAAGGTTAAGATTGTGAAATTTTTATATTGTCCCAAAAATTAATGTAAAAAGGATGAAAATTATAATGAGGATCACTGGATCAAAGGTAGTAATGTTAATAAAGTCATGTGATAAACTAAATGTGGTTAATTAAAAGTTGAGAGCAAAACGTATAGTATCATAATAATCGTGTGGCCAAAATAAATTTTATGATAAATAATTAATAAGGAGTAGCTAAAGTGACACTTGTCTTTGACTTTATATTAGCATATTGGATTTTAGCCCCTAACCCCTTTTGTTGTACATGTATCAAAAAAATCAATAAGAAGTAAATGGCAATAAAATTCATGGTGATGTCGATCTATATTACATGTGGAAGCTAAGTATTGTTATATACATTCCCTACTTCCCTTTCTAGAATTACTCTTTATTTTATTTGTGGATCAAAATAGAAGATTACTATAAATTTTTTGAGGTTTAGATTCTCAAAAGGTGGCGCAACTCGTTTTTGCATTTAGATGGTCAAGTCTTTTAGTGGTATTATAGGCCGAAAATTACAGGATCAATGGGCAAATATGCCAAATTTGTAGAAAAACTCAAGATTTGATTTGATACTCCTTACAACACTTTGATCTTTTTGATTCGTTAGAAGTCGAGTTATTAAAAACTGACATTGAAATAAATCAGGAGCTAGTATTAGCTCAACCATAAATTGATGAGCCACTAAACATGGTAGATGGTGACAACACTCATGATTTCATGTAACTAAGCGTGATTTAACATCCTTCCCTTTACATCTCGCTCCCTAGATATATTTCAAGAATCATTGTTACTAGTAATATCAAAAAATAGTTTTCCAGTTGAGTGATGGCAACAAACAAACCCAAGTCATTTTCCATCCCACACCGGTGTACATAGTGTTATAGAAATTTATGAAAGATATTTCAAGTTCATACTCTATTCCACTTTACATCATGGGGATTATTTTGTATTTTTGTACTTTTTGAAGTGGCTGAGAGTGATTCATTATGCCATGATAATGGCCAATACACCTAAGAGGAAATGAGTAATTGGGGTGCTTAATTAGTACTAATAGAATTGTTTTCAAAAAAAATAATTAGTAATAGAATTAATAAACATTACATTTGTTTGTCCTTACTCGTTCTTAATTTTTGGACCGGCCCAATTAAGAAGTAAAATGTTGATCATATTATTTGTTCTATACGAAAGGAAGTTCGAGCTCCGAACCTCTCTTAAGATATGAGAATGCATGGTCACTCACACCAACTAAGCTGGTGGTTGATTATTTATTATATGATGAGTTGTGTAACATTATTATTATTATTATTATTATTATTATTATTATTATTATTATTATTATTATTATTATTGTGCTACTATATATATAGAGCTTGAATTCAAGATTTGAGATCACGTGGCAGAGCGTGAAAGGGGGAAGCTAGGTGTGGGTAAAGATGGATAGAAGAGGGTTTGGAGAGATGCTTAGAAATGAGGGTTTCAAAATGTGGATTTTCCAGTGACAAAAAGAGAAATGTGATGAAGACAACACACTGAAGCCTGAAGGAGAGAGAGAGAGAGAGAGAGAGAGAGAGAGAGAGAGAGAGAGAGAGAGAGAGAGAAACATTTCTATCTGTAAACAGCACACACCAAAGCTCATCTCTTAGCTTGCAATTTATTTCATCTTCTTTATTTTACTCAGCTCCTACTTTCTTATTAAAGTATTTATTTATTTATTTTGAAACACAAAAAGTATTTATATTATTCTTCCAAAAAGTATTTATATTATTGTATCTGGAAAGTCTTGTCCCGGAGGCTTGGTGAAAATTTTCTAAGGTGTTTATACACTATTGTGTATCCATTTACTGTATCAAAATAGAGTTATTAATATTTTTTAGATCCATTAACCAGTTGAGTTATGTAAAGATAGGCCCTGTTTGGTAAAATGGCTGTTGATAGTTGTTTGCTGTTAGCTGATTGTGTTAATTAGAGGGTATAAATAGTTAATAACATTAGCTGATTGTAGAAAAGTGTTTGGTAAATTAGCTGTTAGCTGATAGCTGTTTAGTATAATTTCTTTTCTCAAAAGGCTAATTGAAAAAGTTAGTTGGAGTAGCTTTTTAAATTTTATCCTTTTGGAGTTGCAAAAAACTAATTAACCAAACATTTATATTGATATTTTAACTAAATCAAACAATTAATAGTGATCAAATAAGCCAAAATTGATTTATAGGCCAATTTTTTACCAAACAGGGCCTATGAGATCTTGTATTTATTGTATTTAATGAAGAAGTTACACGGTATAAATAGTGTACAGGAAGGAGAATTAGCTGGAAATTACAACTAAGCTAGTATAAAAAAATGTAAATAGAATTGATAAATAAACAAATGTAATACTAGCCGGTAGCCACATATAGGCATAACAAGTTATACTCGGAACAACTTTTGATTCCATTTTCTTGATGAAATTTTAGGGTTAATTACAACACTCTATGTAAGTGTGTAAATGTGTGCACAAGCTTTGATGCATGGTTGTGATTTTTTTATCCTACGCGTTATGTGCAAGTAAATATGTTAATGTATGCACGAGCTAATCCCATATATTGTTGGTAGTGCGCCCTGTGTACATGTAAGTATGTTAATGTGTGCACGAGCTCAAGTTTGTATTTTAAGGGGGTTTGTATTTGAATGCAACCATATATATATATAGGCTGCGAATCTGGTGCAACCCCTATTATACATGAAATCATGAGATCTCTTGATAACCATTGATTCATTCTCCATGAATGGTGGAGATTAGAAGAGAATATTAAAGTAAATAAGGATATATTGAAATTAAAAGGGTTAAATAGTAATTGTAGTTATTTGTTTAATTATGGATAGATTTGAATTGGAATCTTTTGGATTATATTAAGTATAATATGAATGGAAAAAGATATTAAGAATTAATTGACCACATATGTTGAACCTTAAACTTGCGTGAGGAAGGCCGCGGAAACAAAACGCGCCGACAAGAGTGTTGAACTGAACTGCGAGGCAGAAGCACAAGTCAAGAAACGAGAATGACTTCTAGCAACTCTGGTATGTGCATAACTCAGTTTCGGTCTGTGCATTTTGCTGGGTTCAGGTTTTTGGTGTTTATTTGAAATGCAACGTAAGACAAACAATGTAGAATGGGACGTGTTTGTGTGTGTAACCGTATTGTTTGCGTGCATTAGGACATGGAATGTTAAAGGAGGCAGTGGTAGCCTAAATTGTAGATTTTGATGTTGGATGATAAGACAAACATGGGTAGGTGCACACTAGTTTTCCGGTGTGTGCGAATGTTGGTGATGTTTTTAGTGTTATCATTTTTTTTTTGGATGATCGAACTAAATGTCGTTGGATTAGTGGGGGGATTTGTTATGGTATGTGCGTATACATGTTTTGACGTGTGCATCTGTGTGGTCGTGTTGATTTTTGTATGTTTAATAATGATTCAATGGTCGGACTGAATGGTATTGGGTAGTATGTGCTGGCGTAACTGGCGTTAATTTTTTTGGTATAGGATGCATAGTATGAAAATGGTTTGTGCGTATTAGTCTACCGGCGTGTGCGAATGGGTTATGGTGTGTGCATTTTAATAATGGTAGCGTGTGCGTTTCGCTGAACGTAATGTCGGATATGAGGAAAGGCGTTTCGCCCGCACCAATGCACACTACACCGTTAGTAATTACTTAGGCAATAAAAAAAATTGCATGCAAAGTAACGCACATGCCAAGTGTTGTTACATTCTTTAATAGGGAAAAAAATATTTTGCCAAATCTATTATGCCATGATGCACACACATGGTTATTACATTCGTATAGCCCCGACTTACTCACAATTAAAAATAATACACACGACATGATGCGATTATGCGAAGACTCTCACCTAGTTATTTGCACACGCCGTAACACAGCAATGCACACACCCCGTTACCCTTTAATAAGCAACAAAAAAAACTACATGAAATAACGCATACGCCAAGTGATTCACACATGCTATTGCACAACAATGCACACGTCACCCAATATTTTACACACACCATCCAACACCAACGCACACAACACCATAGATAATTTCTTAGGCAATAAAAAAATTTGCATAAAAATAACGCATTGGCCAAGTGTTGTTACATTCATTATTAGGAAAACAAAAAACTCGTCAACATAACAAATTAAAAAAAAAAAACATTATGCAAAGTCTATGATCTACTGATACACACACTCGCCAGCATAATGCACCCGCTACCGTCTACGGTCCCCACGTTATCTGCACTCGTGGAATTTGAACAAGTCGAATTTCTGTCACAACAAACTGGAATTTTTGTTTACACTTAAAATAAAAGAAACACAAAAATCACAACAATCAACCATTAATGACCAACAAAATATTATAAAAACAAGAAAACCAAAACAAACAAAAAAATCTGGAATATTTACAGTAAAAAAAAACCAACAGACAGCAATCCAAAAAAACATGCCACATGCTATTGCAGAAGAACAAGAGGACAACACCATTTGATGGGTAGATGTCTGAGCAGTCATCCACAAAAATCTGGGAGAAGGCGTTTTGGATGGATGAATATACAAAAGCTCAG